TTTTTTTGTTGCTTAAATTGAGTACTCTCATCTTGCTATTTACATCTTGTTACAAATTTTCTTTATATTTTAAAGTATGTACTGTCTACGAAAAGTCCTGTGACTTTTCGCGGCGATGGCGCAGACACGGTGTGATAGCGCACTGTGGTGTTTCTAGTGTTGAAGTGTGCGTGTATTTCTTCGGAGGGTAGTTTTCGCCTGCTCTCCTGAAGATGAGCGGCTGTTCTCGTTCAATTTGACAAGCGAGATCCACCGGGCCTCACCAGCTGACCCTATGCGCCCGTGCGTGCTTAAATTTCCACCGATGTACTTCTGAAATTTTGTTAGAGAAGGATAAGCAGCAATTACAAGTTGTAATGGTGACCCAAACCGTTTTGGGAGGAATATCAATATTTTACACATTTGAATCTGCATATAGAAATTGTTGTTAGGAACTTAGGAATTTGCGCATTATCAGTTACATAAATACTATCCAATTTACCTCTTTTATTCTTAATATTTCTTTATTTCGTTGTTTACTTTTGCTCCATCCACACTGCGAGTTTTTTCGGGGGTTCAGACGATTGCGTAATTGACTATAATCTGTCAACTATAGAGTTTTTCCAAGCTCCACCCACAAATCCCATTAAAGTGTGTTCAGTGTTTCCATTCTCTACAGGCGGGTAAAATGATGTTAACATTATCTCTTTTATGATATATTTTCTGCTTTCATAGCTACATTAAGCTAATATCACTGAACATCAATCCGTGGTTAAGAGCAGCCAACAGCAGTGTCCGAGATGTGCAGGATAAGCTTCATCTGGCTTTATCACCGCACCGGCTTAGCTGTGTGATTACGAAATGAATTGCTTTCGAGCACCTCCACAGAATGTACAATATGCGAAACTTCCAATTTCTTTTTTTAAAAGATTTGCCATCAAAGTTTTTGATGCTTTGATATTTTCTTTTCTAAAGAAGTGAACTCGATCTTGCCTTCTCAATAGAAAATCTTTATCAAGCAAAGCTTTGAATTCAGTGGCGAATACGGTGTTGTCATAGCAACATCGTCGTCGTGGTCGTCGGAAATATGGGTTAGCACTGCTATGTGTGCGCTGCTTGTTACTGCTGAGGGCTGTGAAACCGTAGATGTCGATATTTCATACGTTAGGGGTATGTGTCTGTGCGTGTGTATGTGTGTGTGGTGCCATCTATTGCTGCGCTGTCAAACGAAAACGACGAGATAGTGGTGAACGAACGGTCGTGCCGTCCGCCCTGTTCCATCAGCCCATCCCAGCCAGTCAGCCATGAAACATCGGCTGTTTTCGCTGTTTGCGACGTTTTGTTATCAATTCGAACCGCCACAGCGGGAGCAATGGCGAACGACATGTCGAGTTCCCCGTTATCCGTACGATGGGACGTTCGTTTTTGAAAGCACCGACCGATGCGTTGTCGAAATGCGACACAGGAGTGCAGTGTTATCTGCGGCTGATTTGAAAGGTGTCCTGGTTGAGTCAATTGCTGTTTGGTGCATGGAGGAAAGTGTTTACGATGGGAGCGAAAAGGGAAATTGTTGCGAAATTCACCTTGATCTTAGGGGAATTTTTAAATGCAGTTTGAAAAAGATTTGAAGTTGTTAAATTGAATGTAAAGCTTTATCAGGTGCGAAAGCTGTACTCAAAGCGGAAGAATCTGTGGAATTCATTATCTCATAGTAAACCATCAATAAGAATTAATTTATTAAAATTGCCAAAAGAAAGCTTTATCTGCGGGTTGCAGTGCGTTTACGGTACATAATAGGAAAGATGACATGCACTTTCAACCGACACTGTTAACAGCTGGATGTTTGCCGGTGCCCTTGTGCTAGGCTGTGATTAAGTTTGATTTACACTAGAAATTTACGAGCAGTAGTGTGATTATTTTTACTCAATAGTCACGGAAGTAGTGATAAGTTAACAGTTGATGTGCTGTAGCTATTTTATTCTTTGTTACACCTGACTTCCATAAATTGTCTTGGCGTCCCTCAAAC